AGGAAAACAACCATTTATCATTATTCTCAGTTTACAAATGAGGGCGTGTGAAAGTCCCAGAGACAGAGCCAATGAGGCTCTACCAAGCAAAGCAGAACTTCGAAGCAACGTGTCACTTCTAAATTACGATCCCAGTGCTGGCCTCAGTGAGCTCTTCATCTTAAGGCCAGCTCCCCAAAGTGTCCCCTTTAACTGCACTTGTGCATCGTGTCCGGTCTGGAATCGCCCCCTTGCTGCCCAGCCCTCGCTAGAGGTGAGAAACAGGCTGAGAGGCTGCCACGTCCCTCCATGGCTCCTGAGGGTACCTGTGCCTAGAGAGTGCCTGCACGCTCACCCATGGGGTCGGGCCCGTGCAAAGTGCAGTTGTGGCTGATTTATTTTAAGGTGGCCACCTTTTTTTGCCTATTATTTAGAGAACAGTAGTAGAAAGTTGGAGATTTGGCTGGTGTTCCCATCTTCAAAACAAAAAAAAGTTAAAGTTCATACCAACTGGAAAAATACTGTCTTAACTTTCAGCAGCTTTAAGCAACTACTAGGTAAAAGGAAGGCATATCATAATTGGGAGAGGAGATGTCAAAATCCCTATGAAGTCCTTATTCTCCTYCTGAAAGGAATGCTCTGACGTGCTGGATCTGGAATACTGGTTGTTACTTATCAGAGGAGGAGAAGTTAGGCCCCGTCTTAGCAGGCCTGCTTCTGAGGTGCCTCCCTGTACCCACGTGTTGCAGAGTGAAGGTACTCACTTGGATTCTGAATTTAGCAGCCGTGTAAGTGAAGTTTAGGTAGTTAAGGTCTGCCTGCCAAAGAACAGTCTTTTCTTGGCTCCAACCCTGTGTGTTTTGCTTGGAATTAGTGAGACTGCAGCAATTCCCAACCTGGAGTCCAGGTCTCTCGACCTCCAGTCTGGTCTATAGCAAACCCACAAAGTCTTAGATGTYTCAGCTCAGCAGGAAAAATAAGTTCAAAATATGTATGAAGTAAATGAAAATTGAAGGAGATTATTCATCAGCTTTGAGATAAAAGTTTCTTCTAAAACAAATAAGCAGTGTTAATACTATCRTGGTCATTAAAATATATTGTSACCCATCAAGTCCTAAAAGTGTGTAAGTAACAAAAYTGTCATGTAACCAGTTCACTTTTATGAGGAAAAACTTTTGTGTCTGTTGTGCTACAGTCTGTCTGAGAGTGAACAGATAAATCTGCTGACTAGCATATTAAAACACATTTATTTCAGTGGTTGACAGTTTAGCTGACTTGTGCAATTAATAGCCCCTACTTAAACAAAAAACCCACCCTGCAAAATACAAGTTACGACATGAAGGGCTCTGCCAAGAAGTCGTCCTGGATTTAGCAGAACAATTTTTTGGGCACAGGGGTCCAGCTGTCAGCCTGTCCCTTGTCCGTTCTTCGCACCAGGGAGATGGTGAAAGCCCTCACAAGCTTCAGTGTGAAAGCCCAGTGCTCTGCTCTTCCCCTTCCTCCGTTTGCACTGTGGAGCTTCTSGTTCTGCAGCTTTGGGCAGCACTTCTGCTCCACAAACAGAACTGCTCAAAGAACTTCCCCGTGATGGGGCTGACGTTTTGGGTTTGCATCTTTGCAGTTGGCCAAGAGGTTTGGATGTTTCTGAGCCCTGGTGCCTCTGCTTTCTGGATGTCACTGCTTCTCTGAGGACTAATATAGTAAGTGATGGCTGCAACGTGAGGCCCGTAGTGTGGAGGACTGGCAGAAGGTGAGGTGAGAAGGCTGTGGCCTGGGGCTGTGCTTTGCAGCTAGGTCCTTGGGATCAAAGCAAGGAAATCRGCATCCAGAGCCCTTCTCTCTGCCCATGGGTGAATGGGTGCCCATGGGTCTGATGCCTCCAGACAAAAACACAACCCTTGTGAGGGAGCCCGTGAAAACTAACGTCTTGGCTTGCATGTGAAGTTTTCAATAAAAAGAAAAAATTACAGAAAACATGGGAGAAGGACTCCAAATTCATCTCCAGCTAGTTCTCCTCCGTGTGGCTGGCAGAGTAATACATTTTTCTTCACATAAACTTCCAAGTTCCTGTGACTGGTTCTAGTGGTAGGTGATTCTGCAGGTGTTTTGCAGCGCAAGTATTACCAAAATAGCTTCAGGGCAGAGAAAAGACCAAACATGTCCAGGCTTTCCCTGCGAAACAGTCCTTGAGAACATGCGCTGTGTGCGGCTGGCTGGCCCGACAGCGTGTGCGCTGCTCCTGTTCCTCCCCAGTGACACCGAGCCAAATGAATTCATGAGGCAGCAGTGCTTGTTCGCCCAGTGATTTGTGACTTTTGCAGTGTAAGAATAGGGTTTCAAGTGGTTTGAGCAGCAATAAATCACTGTGTGTGCCGGGTTTGCTACCGTGTGTGGCTCAGGGTCAAACGGAGTTCAGCGGGAGGTGGGAGCTGCTGCCAGTGCAGGAGTCCTGGTGTCTCCGGTGCTGAGAAGCCTTTAGGGCTTGCGCTACCTGCTACAGAGACTGTAAAGGTTTAAAACCGAGAGGCCTGGTTATTCAGCTGAAGTCTGATCCTTGGACCTTTCCCTGCAGAAGGTGAAGATATTGCCAATAAAAAAAAAATTTTTGCAAAGCTCTCTGGACCGTACAAGTGGTTGTGGCCTGCGGTCCTGGTGAGGAACTGCACTTCATTCCATGGAGTCCTCATGCTCATGGCACCTCTGGCCCACGCTCTGTTCATCCTGTCCCCAAACTCCCTGTCTTGTGTGCCTGATCCAGCAGGAGGGAAGGCAGAAGAGYGGGCTCAGGGGCGTGCTGCTGCTGGGGGGGAGCAAGCGATAGGCCTTTGCCTCATGCCAGTTGGAGGAGCACATGGGCAGGCACCTCAGGGGTTGGTTATGGGCAGCACTCAGGTGTAAGGGCACTGAACACTGGCAAGTGTAAAACACGGCCTCCCCTRGTGCATCTCCTGTGCATCGACTGCACGCTGCTCTTACCACTGTGGAGCTGGTGGGGGAGCCTCTGAGAAGCTTTTAATCAAACTTCCCATGTGCTTCCTTCATCCTGAACGGAAACCACCCTGTGAACAACAAAACACAACCTCAGATAAAGCTCGGTTCTGTAGGAGGGATTTAACCTTCCCACATAAATTAAGTTATAACATGATATGATCGCCRTAATTTTAAGGCGCTATTTCCAGTACAGAGGAGGTTTTGCGGTTTCACTAATTGCTAGTGTAGAAGGAAAGGGGTGAGAAGTTATGTGTGACTTTTCCCTGGTGACCAGAAACAGAGGGGCAGCGTGAGGTGATGCCCAGCACAGCCTTGCTGGGAGCTGTGGCACCCGGAGGTGGCGGGGGCCCCATCTCCCAGCCATACCCCCARGGGCAGTTTCGGAGCTCTTTTCCTGTGCTACCTGTGGGAACAAAACGGGTTCATCTGGGCTCAGAAATACTGCTGATGAGACCAGGCACGCTGCAGATAGTGCAGCACTCGAGGAGTCATTTGAGGTGGCAGCACGAGCCTGTGGCCCGAGTGCCGCTCTGCTGCAGGTGAGTGGGGCCGGGAACCCCACTGCCTTTGCAGTGTGCGAAGTGATACGGATCTCAAAACCCACCAGCAGCCCTGGCTGCGAGTGGCCAGAGAATAGGAAGGTGTGTGTGCTAGTGCTCCTTTTGCCCTCGTACGGAAATGTGAGATAAGCCAGGACATGCCTGGCTCTGGTGGAGAAGGCCAGCTCCCAAATCCCAAGCTTGTGTGCCTGGTGTGGATGTACCCACACAGGGGAGGCCATATGGATAAAATCATCACGCGGTGCTGCGACTGCCATAGGTACCTTAGCCTGTTTGCATAGAGTCCTTAGGTCTCTGTCTTGGAGGCATCTAAAATACAGAGGAAATATGTGCTGTGCTTGCAAGTTGGAGCTGTTTTCTCATTTGACAAGAAAAAGCCTCTGTAAAATCTTCCCCTCAATGTAAACACTGCATATTTGCTATTTTCAGGAGTATTAAAGAGTTCAAAATAAGCAGACTGGCAGGATGCAATCACAGAAATGTTTTCTGCAGCAAGTGATCACAAAAGCACTTTGTGATATCATAATGCACATCTGCTGTGCAGAAACTTAAGGTTTTACACAAGAATGTATTAAATACTTAATTTGCCTTTGGGCTTTCCTTGTCTTTTGTCAGATTCAGGTTTCTGTATCTGGTAATGCAAAGCTAWCAGTTTGACTGGGCAGATCAGTTTGGTTGCCACATCTTGAACATTTAATTTTTCCTTATGCTCCATCGTCTGYTATTCTTTAGCACAATCACACTGCATATCAATTAGGAGAAAGGAAGATACTTGTGACAAATTTGGACGGGGGGATGTGGGGAACGGGGTGCCCATGGGAGCTGTGGCCACTTTGGCTGGGGGTGCAAGTTTGCTCTGAATGTTTCTGGGCTCTGAAAACTCTTCAGTTACGCTCTGTGCGCGCTCGAGGGAGAACATGAGATTTTGAGTTCCCTGTAATTTGCCTTTCTGTCCCCAAGACCCCAGGAAGTGGTCCCTTCCTCAGGCAGGAAGATGAGACGGGGGGTCAGTCTGTTATTGAGCAGATGGTGCTGGAGTCGTGAGCAGCAGCAGCACGGCAAGCGTAAGGCGCAGGATGGGTGTCCTCCGGCCTGGCAAGCGACACCCCTGTGTTAGTGGCACGTTTCTGTCTCCTGTTCTGCAGACACTGAGCCAGGCCTCACCTAAAAAATAGATACATCCCATTTTCCCCTCTGCATGGATTTGCCGAAACTCTTGTAATCTCCCAGGTTAAATAAGTGATGTGTGTATGTGCAACGTGTGACATACGCGTGTAGTGTATGCGAGAGAGGAAAATGTAGAGACATTATACAAGAAATGCAGCTTTGTGTTCTGTTGCTTGGGACATAAAATGCTAATGCATGGTAAATATATTAAATATATACTTTGTAGGTTCATTGCACACCAGTTATAATTAATTTTGGCCCTCGTAATAAGTTAATCTCCTTTTTCCCTACCTCTTTCTGCAGAGTGTGACAAGCTGCGGAGGGATGGCTATCGGAGCTCTCAGTATTACTCTCAGGGCCCAACCTTCTCCTCTTCCTCCAGTGCAATCTGTGGAAGTTACCAGGATGATTATGAAGAAATTGAGCAAAAGGTAATGATGGGGGGGCAAAGTGCTGGAGGAAGTAAATGCATCGTACTCTTTAGTGCGTGATGTATTCTTATTATTCAAATAGGGTAGGATTTTTAAAAGAGCATTTTAAGGATTCATAAAGGTGACAGATAAGTATTTACCTTTAGAATTGGAATGATTTTAGATTATCCGACTCTTATAGACTCTTAAAAATCCCAGTCTTACCCACATATTTAARTAACACTACCATTGCCACAATGAAGATCTAAAAAAGCAAGGGTGAGGTTTGGTGATGCTGTGGAGAGAAGACACCAGGTAGCTGTTACGAAACTGTTACGTACATGTAATAGACTACTGGGAAGAGCTGTTAACTGGTCACCAGTATCSTGAAACTTTGAACTGCTCTCTACTACATTTGTGCAGCTTCAGTAGTAAAGGTTTTGTCCTCRTGCATCAGAACCACTTGCATAAGTGACTGCAGAATGAAAGATTGCTCGTCAATGCTGTGTTTGCTTATGCTTGTATGTCTGCAGCTCAAGGGAGTTTCTCTCCTCTGTCCTTACTCTTTTCCTGATGTGTCTGTGGGTCCTGAAAGACTAGCTGTGTCTGACCTCGATTACATGGGTTGTGGTACTAGTGCTGGGGTGGACAGCAAGTTGCACTGGAGCCTGTCCAAAGCTGAAGTGCTGGAACTCCTGGGATTTTCCAGGCAGGTCCTCTGGAATGCTTTGGCACAGAACACACAGAGGAAGGATATCCTTGGCTGTAACACCGTTTAATTTTACTGAATGATTACTAAACCATGAGTGTATCTGTAGCACAGACCAAATAATTCTATTGCTGTACAAGTATTTAAGTCCTGTGAATTGGGCTTAAAGAATGTCATCATAAAGTGGTTTTGATTCCATCCTTAACATCTTTTTAATCACACCATAAAAAGTTGTTGTGATATGTGTGCTCTCACCCAGGTTTTCATTGCATTACACCTATTTTGTCAGGTCGCGCTGCAGCTCCCGAGCTGGCTGTGGGCAGCCTGCACTGTCAGTGAATAGAGACTGCTAAGCAGATTAATACTTCCCAGTACATTACAGTGATCATTTGCAAAACCTTCCTGAAATCAGTGAAGTCATAATTTGCATTGGGGAAAAATATCAACTGATTGTTATTAATATAATACATACTTGCTGGCACATGCTTCTTATCAACTTGTCCCAGGTAGTGCTCTGCAGCCTGTGACCCAATTGCATATGTGACACTAATGTACCATTTAAAAATATAAATGCAATTTAAAAAATATCTATTTGAGTGAGAATATGTTAGCCTGGGTAAGGCCTCTTACAGACTCAGAACTGCCATTCTTAGATAACATTTTCATGGAGTATGATCTGAACATAAGGTGTTACAAATGATTTCTGCGTATTCTGAAAAAAAATAAATGCAAATAATTACGTCTCTTGGGAAGGAGAGCCATTTCAAATTAGAATAGTTTCCTGTAGATACTTTTTTTTTTTTTTGCTGCAAACGTGGTTCAGGGCTATGGAGAAAGACAACTACCAAAATTTCCAGTCTTCCATGTACTAATTATTTTGGAATCTTACCTCTTATTTAGAGCTCAGAAAGATGTTAATCTACTAAAAAACTGCAATGTGACTCCCCCTTCCCCTTATCCCCTTATGTGTTGTGCTGTCCTTTGTTCCGAATCTTGTTTGTTTTTTAATTTGACTTTGCTTTATGTAACCGCCTACAATTCTATTTTATTCTGTTTTAAACAAATACATACCACAAGCAGCTCAGTAAGCTTGAKTTATAACCCAATGGTATAACGTCAAGTGCCCCTAATAAGTCTGGTGCCTTGAGTCGGTCATTTTTGAGGTGTCGGGGAAGAGTTCTGAATGTCGACGTGTAACTCAGGTCACCAAGTCCCTATGATTCAAAACGTGGCATCTTTGCCACTGAGTGAAACCTTTGGGGTTGTCCATGTTGTCTATTCAAAGCAAAAAGACGAACATTTAGATTCTGAATATAGTGTTTAATTGTTGAAACTTGAGGATACCAGAATAATAATGGATGAATGGCTATTTACTGTTTGCAGACTGACTTCTAAGTTGGTGTAATTGCAACTTGGCAGGAAAAAAWATGTGTTCCAATTTTTAGTGCATGGTGATTTTGCAAAGGAAACCATATTTTCCTCCTGCTTTATAGCCACTTAAATATGTGTCTTAATATATCTGTTAATCTTATAGATAAATCTATTTACATATAGATACATATGTACAGTATATATATTTAATGCAGTATGTATACTTATATACYGTACCCAGATACTCCACTTCTGTTTTCTCGGAAGGCATAATATGCAACCATGGCTTAGGTCACACAAATAAAAGATCTAGGCCCAGAAACATGCTCTTCCTTTGTAGAGATGTGTGTGTGTGACACCAGGGGATAATACTCATACTACAAATATGTGGTTCAGCAGGATTCTTAGGGAAAAGCCTCAGAGAACCCGAACATTTGCTATTAGAAAGGAAAACTGCTGGGGATTAACAAGCCTGTTAGCCCAACTTAAGAACATGTGTAAAAACAAAAATAGAGGACAGAAACTTGAAGTCTCTGAAAGATACAAAATGAAATATACGGAGATACCTTCTTACTTTTGTGTGGATTCTTACAAGTTGCGTTGGTGGAACGCAGACCAAATGGCACTTTAGTGCCTTTCTGCTGATGCTGATTGAGTTTGTCAGASATAAAACAGTTTTTTGGTGCACTGGCTTTTTCCTCGCAGTGCTGTAGCCAGTGTCCTTTGCTCATCTCCTACATACCCTGGTTGCTGACAGTACTCGGGAAGTTTCCTGTCCTTCACTATGGATCTGTTTTCCTAATATTAAGATCTTGCATCATCACTTTGAAACTCAAGTTCCTCTTATGTTCGAAAATGTATACATTATGTATTTTAAATGTATTTTGTCTTATTTGTGTGTTCGCATTCTGTTTTYTTTCCTTTTTTTTTTGTCACTCATTCTGTTTCTTTTTCTCTCACTCAACAGTCTAGTCTGTTAGACTGCATCTCTCAGTCTTGCCTTAGTGCCTGCTGTAACTTGGTTCCCTGGAGCATCAAGGTACCTCGGCCACGAGTGGCATCATCCAGCTGCCAGCCCTGCAGCTTGATGTTACGGGTAGCGTTAGCGTCTGCAGCCCTGTTGTGTGCGTAGCCTTTGGTCGTAACCCGCTTCTCTTCTCCGCCAAAAAGGAAACAAAAAATCAACCACTCAGCAAAAGATGGTTGTGTTTCGTGTCCTTTTTTTTTTTCTCATTATGACTTTTGTTATCTGCAATACATCATCTTTTTTATTATTTTCCTTCTGTTAACATTTGCCTCTCTTAAGCATCCTGACCAGTGGAAGAGTGTGCTTACTTGATTTTTTTTTTAACTAGACAAGAAAAAAAAATCCTAATTTGGACAAATATATCATTTCTGAAATGATGAGTAGCAGCTAGATCACTGTGTATTTGGTCCCAAGCATGCACTATATTGTGTCTTTATCTTGCCTGTGAAAATGTTTGTATGTCAAAAACTTGGGGCATTTATCCCCTGATCCCATCACTTGGCTTATGAACTTTACCTTGTTGTTGTCTATTCAAAGTTTGGGTGACMGAATGTGTACTCTGCTTATTTATGGGGGAAAAAAGTAAGGTTTTGCCACTATATTTGGCAAAACTCTTTGTTATCTGTTTAGTATCTGCAAGAGACTGGTTAGTATCTTGCTGGTTTACAGGGACTTGAGAAAGTCTGGTCCAAAATTTTGTTCAATATGTTAGGGAGGGCTAAAGCAGTTTGTTTTGTGTGGAGTTACAGCTCTGCTGGAGGCTTCCTGGTGGAGATGCCCTCAGCTGCCCTCCCTTCCCGTCCACTGCAGATGAGTGTGGCTGCTTTTKCAGTCTCCGGGTGTATTTTACACAGTTTCACACTTTCTGAATATTTACTGGCTTGAAATAACAACTCAAATGATGAAATGCCAAGCCTAAGGAAATGGATACAGGAACTCTWTGAACAAACAAAAGAGGATGATTCTTTGCTCACCACATACTTAAAGTCTACAATTACTGCAGGAATTGCAGATGGTAAAAAAATCTGYGTGGGTTCAGCAAGCAGCCTGCTAATTTTTTTGGGGGAAAAATCCACCCAACGCAGAGAGAATATGTGAGGAAAAGTGTCCACCACATGCTTGTACTGATGTAATTTCACCTGTGTAGTTCCTGTTGGCCACTGTTGGAAGGCAGATAGCTCTGCTGGCTGGACCTTTGATCCAGCCCAGTGCGCCTTTCCCTGCTTCAGCCCCTTTGCAAGGGTGTGAAAGAGGAAGGGCTGTGCTGGGTAAGTGCACAGCTTGCTTGCAGGTCAGGAATTTGTGCTGACAAATAAATCTCCTCTGTAATGAGACAGCAAAGGCTACACGTGAGTGATTTACCAGTGCCAGCAAAGTTGCCTGGTGCGAGTGAAGGTCAGTGCACGGAATGGGTAAGAATATTCTGCCTAAACCAAGGAGAGAAGATTTGGGAACTTGCTGTAGAGGACACCACATAGTGCAGGAGGTGACTGATTCAAGTTAAATGTAATTTAATGTGAACTTATAATGTGGCAGYGTTCTAGAGCACAGTATGACCCCTTTATCTCCTCCTAGGGAAGCAGTCATATGAACTGAAGTTTAACCAAGAAAGGGAGATGCAACAGGGTTTGAGGGCCTTGGGTTTTTTTTTATTATTTATTATTTATTATTATTATTATTTTCTTCCTGTTACTGTTTGGTTTGGTTCCTTTACATTTGGAAAAAGGACACTTGATGCCATCTAACCTAATAAAAGTCTGTAAAAGAAGCAGGAACTTGGATAAAGGAATAGCTGAATGTGCATGAGTTCAACAGAGCTGAAATATAAATTCAACAGGCTTTTGGATTGCTATGGCTCCTGTTCACAACACTGCATGGATTCTATTTATTTGTTTATTTATTTTCCTTAAAAGTTATAATTTACAGTGAGGTGAGAGACTTGATTAGAAATATCAAGTTCCTTTGTTGAAAGGTAAAATTGTGTGCCTTGAATTTGTCTCCTGGAGGTCCTATCTTTTCAGACAGTGTAATGTAAACCACTGGCACACGGCCCTTTTCCATAGAGATTCAGAGCAAATTTGGAGAATTTAGGCAGGACCAGCTGTGAGATAAGMAGGGTAGAATCTCTTATCAGCTGGGACCTGTGGTAGAGTGTGAATGTGCCCACACAGGGGCAGGATCTTCTGTCAGAGGGCGGAAGGGGCAGCAGGCAGTGACGSGGCTCTTGCCGAGGTGGACAGCTTGTCTTGTCCGTGGTGTATTCGTAGGCCATCTTCTTTCTCCTGGGTTCTCATTTCCATTCCCACTTGAAAGTCCATATTTATCCCCCTATACTGTGTTTATGAAAAACTGCAAGGTCTAAGCCTTTTTGCATACAAGTTTTTACACTTCCCGTGGTCCATTAAAAAGAGCAAATTCCAACAAACTCTTCAGGACATAAGTGCAACTTCTCAGTAGAAGCAGCACAGAAGTTTCACCATATAAATCCAAGAATAAAGATACTATGAATCAAATATACTTTAAAGATAGAAAAAGTACTTTCTGTTCTGCTATGAACATAGTGTTTGTGATCAGCTTTGCTAAGCAGAAAGCAAACTCTCAAAGCCTTCCCCAGTCCAGGGTTACCTCAAATATCCCGTGCCTTGCTTGAGAAGACAGCCCTGTTTCTACAGCAGCAATTCATCAAATATTTCTGTACACTTCTGGGTTGTAAATCTAGGAACATATATAAATGTATAAATCGTATATATAAACATAGCATATGTAAATGTATAAATCGTGTAAAGAGCTATAAAGTATGCAAGACACCAATACACTTTTTAAATTATTATTATTGTGTGAACATTTCCTCCTACACACAAAAAAACTGTGAATCCTTTTATTGACGTTTACCATTATCCTGTGTTAGAATATTGCTTTCATTGAAACAGTGCTTTGACCACAGCTGCACAATCGGGTTTTCAATTGCTTTTCGTTTATTATACATTCACTGGGCTGATTAATTTCTGTCGTTCCTCCATCCCTTTTTTTTTTTCTTTTTTTTCCTTCTTTTTTTTTTTTCTTTCTGCATAGCTAGCATTCCCACATAGTAGATGCTTCATTTTTTCCCCCCTCTCTCTAATGTTAATGCTTCCCAGCTCTATTATTTTGTGGGKGGAAGGGGAGGAGAGCTCGGCTTTGTTTGGGTGGTGCCCTTGGGAGGACCTCTGCTTGTCCTTGGAAGGGCACCGCGTGGCCGGCTGCCCCATCCGTCGCCCACGGGGGCYGCCGGGCCCGGGCGTCGAGGGCCGCGACGCTGATCCCTGGTGCCGCCACGAAACTGGAGCCTCTCCTGCCCCCCAGGACAAGCCTGGGGAGCGCAGCTTGCAGCATCACCCACGGCGCCCAGAGCGAGAGGCAGAGAAGTGCCTCGCGGACGGGGTGGGGTGATATTTCTGAGGGGGAAGATGATATTTCGGAGGGGAGGGATGGTATTCCTGTTCTCATTTCTTCCCGTGTCACAAGCCTGGGAGCAGAGGATCAGCAGTGTCGTCTGGGTTTCGAGTTCGTGACCAGCTTCTCGAAGCCCATGTAGTGTTTTCTGGGTTTTCATGCTGTGAAGCCACTTGTCCCCCGGGTTTGCTGGGGGGTGATGCTGTCCTGTCATCCAGATACGGGTCCGTCATCCAAATACGGTAACGAACAGCCTTGCTACCCCCAAGCAAATGTCATTTTTGGCACTGTAGCTTTGCCTTGCAGAAGCGTGCCTGCAAGCTGTTCCAGCCTCTCCTTCTGCTGCTTATTTATTTATTTATTTAAGAAACAAAAAAGCACCAACACCCATTTTAAAATAAAGTGGCTAATGCCTTGGCATGGAATGGCTTAAAAAAATGACCATTCTGTGGCTCCTAATGTTATGAGCTACAGCTTTAGCAACGGAGCAAAATGAGCTCTCATCTGTGGGGAGAGCTGCTCCGAGGCCAAAACCGGCTGCTCTTGGTAGCTGCTCGGGCCCTGCCTGGCGGCTCTGCGGTGCTTCACTGGGCTCTCCGAAAGGCCCGTTCTGCACAGCAGGCTTCTTGGGGAGGTTTTGTGCACCCACAGGCCATGGGCAGCCAGGCCGTGGCAGGGACCTCATCTTCCCACAGGGTGCAAGGTACGATGAGGAGAGCAAGGGCGGGTGCTGAGGAAGGTTGCACTCCACGCACCACGTCTGTGTCCGTGAGCGCCCTGCTTTGCCCTGCTCCAGACCGCCCTTTGGCTGCCCAGGGAGGTTGTGGAGCCTCCTTTTCTGGRGGTCTTCAAAACAGACCTGGATGCCGCCCCGTGCTCTGGGTGTCCCTGCTGGAGCAGGGGGGTTGGCCTAGAGGATCTCTAGAGGTCCCTTCCAACCTCAGCCACTCTGTGATTCTCTCATTTGTCTGTGCTCCTTAGACTGGTTGGGTGTATTGGATAAATACAATCAATTAAAAAAAAAAGCTTGCATATGTCAATGTGATGATATTTCTGGAAAAATGRGAATGTGTGCTGTTGTATCAGCAGTGACACTCATTGAAGTGCTGTAGTGCCATTGCAGTGTAGTGCTGATTTTTCTTTTTTTTAGTTTTGTTTTGAGAGTGAATTTATTGTGCTGCATGTATTTGTGTTCGTAGTGCTCCGTCCCCTCCCCAGAAGAAGAAAAGCTCATTACCATCAAGAGGCCTAAAACGCCCGTTTCGGATGAGTTGTCGGATATCAACACCCAAACCAACTGGACTAAGTCACTCCCACTGCCAACACCAGAGGAGAAAATGCGGCAGCAAGCACAGGCAGTCCAAACAGACGTGGTTCCTATTAATGTCACTGGTAGGCTCTTAATCTCACTAACCTCTGAGGATGCATGTTGGGGGAGGGAGGGAGGATAACAGAGGCTGCATTTGCTCGATAGTATTTTGACACTTGTGTGTATGATCTGTGAATTTGGTATTATTAATTGCACCTTTTTTTTTTCAAAACAGTGTTTTATGTTTAATAGCGCATCTCTGAGCTTATTGAGGAAAAGCCCTAAATTTCTTAAAATGAGCATCAGTGAGGATAATTTACACCACGTGAGCTTGAAACAGCGTTTAGAGTTGTTGAGATAGAGGTGTGATATGCCACTATGCTTTGCTGTAGGCTGCAGTGAAGATACGTGAGAGATATCATGTTTGTGCAATGTTAATGATCTTTAAACTTTTCTGAGAAAATGCTAATGTTAAGGAAGATTTTCAGAGACTTCTCTCTTCCAAAGTGTTGCAGAACTGGAGGTAAAGAATTCAAAGGCTTTATTTTATCACTTTTAAGAGTTTTAAGTGACGAGGAAAGTAGGGAAAGGACAGCAAAAGTTAATGAGACTGGTCCTCACAGTTTCTTGTTAGGTCACTTGCATGCGAACAGTCCACGTTTCATTGGTGTAAGCTGTATATTCACTTTCTGTTTTCAAAATAGTCCTTGATTTCACAGTTGCAGAACTCCCACTCAACTCTGTAGAGGTTAAATCATGTGAAAAGCCTAATGCTGAATAGATTTCCTGATGTATGTAAATAGAATTTCTATGAAAGATTGAATTATCGCTTCCATTTAATAATCCCTCTTTCTCTGCACAGTGTTGAGTTTGTCTATTATTAGTTAATTCAAATAACTGACTGCTTTCCTGCCAAAACCAGAATGATATTCAGTATCCAATTTATTTCTAATGCCATATGGCTCTACTTGGCTCCATGCTCACTCTTAGAATCTGTTCAGTAGCTTGTGATGTTTGGTTTTGTTTTGCAAGTAAATTAGGTGGTCTTCGTTCCKGCGTGACTACCAATATGTTTTTTTCAGGTGTATTTTTATAACTTAGATTTTTGTAAGGCGAAGAGCACAGCTCCTTTAGATTAAGATTTCTGGTAGTAAAATTTTAAGATATCTTGTAATTTAAGGCCAGTGACAGCCATCAGAGAGCTTTGAGCAACCAACCAAAAATGGTTATTCAAATAAAGAGCAGAAAATACTTGAAATTAGTAGCCTGAAAGCCACGGAAAACTGCCAACATCCCACCTCTGGAAAAGTGATAGCAGGAAAAGCAAGTGCAGTACTGCAATATTCCTAGGTCGTTGGCGTTGTGTGGTGACCATGGGATAGGGCTGCAGAAGCTGAGTTGTGGGGACAAGGGCCTGGGTTAGGGGGCAAACCCCACAAGCCCGCGCGTGGCTTAGGCACGGGCGCAGCAGGAACAGGCTCCGCTCGGAGAACGAGGAGCCTGGGGTCCATTTAGTGACCCTGCATCCTGGAAACGGGAAGGGGAAGGAAACGGAGGCAAAGGAAAACGGGGTGAAAGAGATCAAATGCCAGACATAGATTTAGTTCAGTGTCACCGGGACTGTTTAATGGATTTGGATAAACTACACCTGGAATTTCAATCGGTTCAATCCAAGCAAACCTTGTGCCTCCAGGTTGTTTRTTTGGCCCTCTCCTACTCAGGATTTTATTTTTTTTCCCCCAAAGACCCTGCACATGTGCATTATTCTTCACCTTCCTACAGCTGGCTGTTTAGAGTTTTCTCCCTATGAAATAATACTAGGCAGGAGGACAGTAAAGGAGAATTATTCCTGCAGCGCATGAGCCGGTCTCTGAGCACCACGTGGTTTCCTTTCCCTGAGTAACAACACGGCCTCTTTGAAAGCAGAAGCAAATGTAACAGGCTCTGGGCTACCAAAAAACAACGACTCCTGTCCTTGTTCCCCGTCAAAATTCACAATCTGTTCCCCTCCTCTGCCCTCCCACACAATGTAATTTTATTTTGTGAAGTTCCTTATGTTACTACATGAGGCAGGGAAAAAAAAGACTGACGGTTCCGTGCCGTTTATCCTAAACRTGCTGTGAACCACGGCAGCATTTTTGTTTTGATTGGCTTTTCCCATCGCTTGCTCCTTTTCTCACCGCCCCAAAAGAGAGGTCAGAAAAGACTTCCCTKTGTTACTCCTGCCCTGAAATAAGAGGCCACCCGCGGCGGAATCCAACTCCCCTGTCACCGGTGCCTCCGCAGAGGAGCTGTTCCCTGGCCCTGCCCGTGGCCGTGCAGCAGGCCGGGCCCTGGCTGGCCTTGCASGGCGCCCCGGGGAGCAGGGGGCAGTAACGCCGCGTGGGACGGGCCCCATGGAGAGCCTGGGCGCGGGACGGGGCTGCCGCGCTCACCGGGGAGCCTTGGGGCTGGCCAGTCTCTGCTCTTGGGTATCYTGTGGGTCAGGAGATGTTCACTCGCACGGTGTCGGCTCGCGGGGGCTTCCTGGGACTAACCTTCCCGGCGGACGGAGGAGGCGGCTCTGGAGGTGGTGGATGGAGGGGGTCAGCGCCAGGYGGGACCCTGCGGGGCGGTTAAGTGTCCAGCCCTCCTGCACGGACTGCCGTGGGGCTCAAACACACAAACACTCCGGGGAATCAAACAAAACAAACTGTCAGGGAAAACTGAATAAACTGGATAAGCTGCATGTGGAATGCTTTGATTATCTACTACAAGCCTGTAAAGGAATCAGAAAAGTACCTTGAAACTGGCAAGATACATTTAATAGTAATATCATTTTAAAATACGACAGTGAAGGAAAAAAAATCCTGAAGCATTCTGATTTTGCTTATTTACTTAGGGTTTRTTAAAGCTGGCATTTTAAAATTCCCTGAATTTGCACAGTGGCTTTCCAAAAGCTGTGCAGCAAAAGCCATTCGAGATGGATGGGTTGAGTCAGGTCACAGGTAGTACAGGGAAGGGGTTGCCCTGGATGAGCCGACACGTAGCAGCTTTTTCTCATGGTCACACTCTTTGTGTGTCCGAGACCTAGGGTAAAGGACTCTCTCCTCGTGTGCACCCTCTCTTAGCCATTTACGAGGTATTTTATTCTAGGATATTCAGAAATTCAAAGCTGCCTTTAATTTGCTTGAAGCTCACAGTCTCAGTCATCATTGTTGGTCTTTGAATGGGTAAAGATACGCTCAGAGGTGGAAATTTTCTCTCTCCAATTCATTGCTGCATTGTTACAACGAGGCTGGAATTGTTATCTGCTCAGTACATGGCAGGATCCTGACCCYGACCCCAAAAGGGCCATAGCACCTAATAGCAGCAATGCCCCAGACAGAGGGTAGCCTGTCTCTATATTTCAGGGCTGCTGCTAAGCCCATGGGATTCATAGCTCTAAATGTGATTGATCTCACAGGATTCCTCCCTTAACCTGGCCTCCACTTAATTAAAAKTGAAGATGAAAATAATATTTATAGTTGCAAGAATTTTGTTTAGCAAGAACGTTGTCCATGGCAGCACAAAACTCCATTAAAACAGTCGGAGTCTGTTAAAAGGTGAATGAAACTGCTACCTTTTTTGCTTGTGTTTTCACAAGAAGTCCACATGCTGTATTTAATATACGAGTGTATCTGTAACTGTTGTCGAGGTAATTAGGTTTTCTAGGCAGTCTGCATGACACACATCATACTGATGTGTCGTCAGCTAGGGATGGTAGTTGTGASAGATACACTAGTTACTGTGCTCATGCATTTATCACTTTTCAGAGGTAAATAATTTGGTCATCAAATCTCAAAAAAGTGCACAAGACAGTATGCATCCAGTATTTTTCTGCACATCAGCTTTGCATAGCTCATCTTACCCTTAAAATTGGGACTGATTTTTAAGTGTTTCAGCTTCTAAAACGGGAACTTGAATGTGAAATTTGCAGATTTTGGGATTTAGAAGGGACGGAGATTTAACCGTGGGGTAAATTTTATCTTGCTGCTTGTGAAATGGCCAAATTATAAACCTCTAGACAAAAGTGAGTTTCCAAAGAAAAGCTGCTCAACCTTAACCATAGTGGTGCTTCTGGGTCCCRTTAAGATACAGCACACGGTCCCTATAAGGCTTTGGCTGGCAATGAGCACTTACACACACCCCCCTTATCTTCCTCAGCTCTGGGCACTGCCGATGTGTTTGAGCACTTGCAAGGCTGCAGTTTTAGACAGCCTCCACCCTGACTGGGGTGATTTTCAGATCCCACGATCAATTTGATCTGTGCGTGCTCCATAGTATTTGGATTCATATTTAAAAAAATTCCCCCCCCCCGAATATGGTACATGTGGCAGGTTCAGAGCAATGTGGAGTGAGAAAGGAGGTGTGATTCAGCGATGGAGCTGCACAGCAAACTTGTACCGGCTCTTGCCGACGACGGTGGCTGTTCCTGTAAAAGCCGCTATGGTCTTTCATTTTCGTGAGCAGATTGGCTTTTTTTGAAGCTTATTACTTAAAAAGAACACAATACAAAGGGCCAAATTTGACCAAGGGTTCTGTTCACTTCAGCGGAATTACAGCTACATACTGTTACCTAATTTGGGAAGTCAAAAATCCTTTGAAAATCTGTGTAATGCATAAGTGTGCCTAAAGCCTTACTGTGATGATCTGCTGTATCTTGCTCTTCAATGTAAACCTTCATTGTAGGACCAAGCTAACATCACTTATTAATGCCTTTTTTTCATTTCTACGACCAAACTAGTGGAAGAAGGTGCATGGTGTCCGCGTGCTTGGAAGTAATGTTGCTTTGCTTGTTCTACCGTGCCGTAGGGGAGAATTTCGACCGCCAGGCCAGCATTCGGCGGTCTCTAATTTACACAGACACGGTGGTAAGACGCCCGAAGAAAGTCAAAAGGAGAAAGACAATAACAGGAATCCCTGACAACATACAGAAGGAGCTAGGTATGGCTCATCAGAACTGTGCTCTGTCCCCTGCTCCCTGTCACTGCTTGTCGCCCCTGGCCGAGGACACTGCCAGTGCTCATGAAGCCCACGCAGTCTGATGGCCTCTCACGGCTGC